GCTGGTCCCACGCCGTTCCCCTCCCCAACTCTGTCCACGTTTCCCAGTCCTGCGCTTGCTGGCACGAAGGGAAACGAATCCCCGGTGCGGGATGCTGGAGGAGCTGCTGAGAAGCTCCATGTCCTCTCTCCTACCTCCGATGTCCTGCCGTGTCACTGTCCGGCGATGCCGTTAGTTGCAAAATGCTGCCAAGGGTGTTCACAGTGTCCCTCCCTTCCCTTCCCAGCCTACTCATCGCCCACTGAATGCTGCTTCGAGTATGCGCAGAAACCCGTCCGACACGTGCAGAGCTTCTACGAGACGCCCAGGGACTGCTCCTTGCCTGCAGTTGTGTGAGTACCCCGAGGGTTTGCCTCCCACCCCGGCACGGCTGCACGGTCACCCCCATCCTGTCCTGCCCCACAGACAGCCCGGTCCCAAGGGGGGAGCACATGCCGGGGGGGGCTGTGGTGGGAAAGTAGCTGAGTTGGGGTGGGCAGAGGGGGGGAAAGCAGGGTTTGGTGCTTTCTGCCAATGCCAGGGGTCTGGCACAGGCTGCTGGAGATGGCTCCAAGCCTTCATCCAGGATGGGGCTGCACACAGGGAGGGGAGGGAAGAGCTCGTGGTTCATGTTTTCACTCTCTTTCCTCACTTTCTCACTGCAGGATTGTGACTGCCACTAGCGTCACGATCTGCGCTGACCCCAAGAAGCTCTGGGTGAAGAAAGCCATGAAAAAGCTTCAAAGGAAAAAATGAAATCCTCCTCCTGCCATCCACCATCCCACTCACCCATCCAATCCTCCCATCTCTGGAGGGAGCAGACGGCACTCGTGACACTTCTCCAAAGGGTCCTGTGGTCGTGGGTGCCATCACCGCAGGTGGAGCCAGCCCATACCCCGGCGGGACACAGCGGCATGGACCAGCCGGGCACCGAGTCCATCCCAGCGTCACTGCTCTGCCAGGCTGTGCCCAGCGGAGAAAATATTTATAATAAAGACTCATTTCCACAAGCTGCTCTTTGAGTTTTTCCTGGTTCTTCAGCCCCAGGGGCAGATCCTTCAAGCCCAGGGCATGGTGTGACCAAAAACCCCCTTTGCCATGGGCACGTGTCTCTCCAGGCTCTGAGCAAACTGCCAGGTCACAGCGTGATTCATTGGGAATGTCATAGTGGGACCAGGTCTTGACCCATAGGTTAAGGCCACCCATCGGTGAGGTTACCTTTAACCATAGGTAAGCCTATACGTCCTTGTCCTTACAGCAGGCGCTCAGCCCCACAGGCTTTGCAGGAATTCCAAAATCAGGTGGTTGAGAGTGGAGGGTTCAGGGAGAAGACACTGATCTGCCAAATCCAATTGCCTTGCCAGCTTCCAACTATGCTGGTGGCCACGGCAAAATAAGCGAGGGAGGTGAAAAACAGTGTCTGCCGTGCCGGGAGGGTGAGGAACAGGCTCACACCAGGCTGATGGTCCCTCATCTCATGGGAGAGGTGCAAAGCAGACAGGGGAAACCCTCAGAAAGGTGAAGGCAAGAAGTGTGTGCGTGCCACGGACTGATCCTCAACCTAAAGCTTCATCAGTGCTTCGTCGCGATTAGAAAACAGGGCAGGGCTGTATTTTGTAGGATACTGAATGCGGGCAGGGGACGGGAAAAAGCATCACCTATTTTTGCCCATGAATCACTCAGTATCATGGGATGAAGCAGTGGTGGAGAGGAAAGCTGAAGCAGGATCAGATTTTGGGGGACAAACATCTCATGGGTTGTGCTTGGCTGTTGATAGACACAAAGTTTTAGGTTACACCTTCGCAGCACGTAACACCAGGGACTGATGGCTGGTTTATGTTCTGAAAGAAAAAACGGGTGTGCAAGTAGCCATGCAAGGTGGTAAGCTCATGGACAGACACCCCTGGCCTGTATTGCAGAGACGCTTTAAACATCTTACTTACTCAGCAGCCTTCCCCAATCGTTCAAATTTGAGGGTTCCAAAGATTATTTCTCCCCATATTGTTTTTTAAACACCACTGAAAATCAAAATCACATAGGCTCACAACCAGAACATGACAAGTGGACGACACGATGCTCAAGGACAAAAAGCAATTCTTGCCACAGTGCGCAGTGAATCTGGACAGTTTTGACCTGCAAAAAGAGCCGCGCTGACGAGACGTGAAAGGTGTTAGAGGATGCTGCTGCCAACAGGAGGTGAGGAAGGCCAGCAGATCATCGGGGAATGTTAGGGGATGACACGTCGCACCCTCTGTGAGAAAAGTGGTGGTGGAAATGTGGGACAAATGCGTCTGCCCACGTTACAGAGCAGCCCCTGATGAAAAGAAATGATGATGATGGTTTTGCTAGTCTCATTAGCAAAATAAACCGACGCTCCACCGGGCACGCCAATGTTGTTCTCGAGGATTTTACCACGATGGCCTGTTCTGGGCGGTGGGGAACGGAGTTGAGGTGATGTTCAGGATTCATCCAGACCCCAGGTTCCCCCGCTCGGGGACGTGAGCTGCCAGGTGGGAACGTTACCCAACGCGTGGCATCAGGACCCACGATGCAGGAGGTGCTCCAGGCCAAAAAGACGACGATTAGTCATTTCCAGGCTCTGCCCTAGGGGTTCGGTCACAAGCGTGCAGCAGAAGTGCCCCTTTTTCGCTGTTTCTGGCAGGGCTTAGCAACGGTGGGAGAAGCAATTTTGTAGAAAGTTTTGCAGAACAGCCATCACGTGTCACACCGAAAAAATCTTACAGCAGAAAAATCTATAGGTGTTGGCAGCTGCTGCATCGTGGACTTCCCATAACTACCCCTTATCAAAGCTGGGTAGGGCTTACCTGGAAGTCTTACCAATAATTGCTTATTTCCTTCTTATTGTAGGTGAGGCAGCAATTCCCGAGCCAAGAGCTGCCCCGACTGCCGAGGGACGCGGCGACGGCAGGGACGCGGCGATGGCAGGGACATGCTGAGGGCAGGGACGTGGTGAGGGCAGGGACGTGGCAAGGGCAGGGACACGACATGGGCAGGGACCTGCTGGCGCCTGCTCGCCCCTGGACGGGGAAAACTCAAAGTGGAGCCAGCTCATCCTTGT